TTTCCGAGCAGCAGAGAGAGAGAGAGAGAGAGAGAGAGAGAGAGAGAGAGAGAGAGGCAAAAAAACTTATAAAATTAAACCCACCACATCAATAAAGAGACATTAAAGGTTAGGGGTTTCCTATCTCATTATTATCCGTTACATCAATATAATTGTTTAGGGGTTTCTTGCTACAATAATAAAGAAGATTGATACGTCATCATGAAATTATTTTGATCGGGCACGAATCTCGAGGCAAAACCCAACCCGAAAACTTCAAAAATTAAATCTGGGAGCACCCGAACTCCGATTTCAGCAAGCTTACAGGCAAAACCCAACTTCCATGGGATGCAGAAATTCTTCTCAATTAACGACAAAGTTCCCTCCTGATGCCGAAACTCCGCCCAAGTGATGCCAGAGTTCTCCTCGTCCACCAACAATCGTCGGACTTCAACCCGACGCCGGACCTTCACTCTTCGCCAAGTTTCTGCCCGACACCGGACTTCTACCAGTTATCAAACTTTCGCTGGACGTTTATTCAAAGATGGATTTCTTTCCATTGTTGGACTTCTACCTGATGCCGTCCTTCTGACCTTCATCATTAGACACAGTCCTTCCGACCTCCGTCGCCCGCCGATTACGGTCCTGCTGACTTACGTCGCCAACCGACTACAGTCCTTCCGACCTCCGTCGCCCGCCGATTACGGTCCTCCTGACTTACGTCGTCCGTCAACTACAGTATTTCTGACCTTTGTCGCCCGCCGACTACAGTCTTTCCGACCTCTGTTGCCCACCGACTACGGTCCTCCTGACTTACGTCGTCCGCCAACTATAATCTTTCCGACCTCTATCGCCCGCCGACTACGGTCCTTCTGACTTACGTCGCCAGCCGACTACAGTCCTTCTGAATTCCATCGTCAGCCGACTACGGTCCTCTTGACTTATGTCGCCCACCGACTACAAGCCTTCCGACCTCCGTCGCCCGCCGAATACGGTCCTCCCGACCAAACAAACATTTCAATAGCGATTCTTTGTATTCACATCTTTTAATGTACTCTATAAAATGTACATCAAGCTAAGGCCTTCTCCCAAGGAAGGGCCTCATTTGTAATCGACTGCAATACTAGTGTATTCATTCAAACTGGGCTAGGCCCCGTGGGTTTTTCCCCTTTTCAGGAGTTTTCCACATAAAAATCTTGGTGTCTCATAAATGCTTGACCCTCTCTCTTATCTGATTGCGTGCCGGATTTTCGTACAACGCTAAGAGGATAAACGTTATATTTCTCTACCGCCGCGAATACTCCTGGACGCAACAAAGATTAAAGATATAAATTCTTGTAAGTAGTATTATGTCCTGATACTTGCCGCCATTAAGGCTGTGATTTTAATTCAAAGATTTAGATTTTGTTTGGAACGGTTTTCTTATTGCTTATTAAAGCAGCTTTCTAGTACAAAAATTAAAAATTTTGTAACATAAAGCTACTTTAACAAGCAATAAAAAAGTCATCCCAAATGAATTCTTAATAGAATTTTAGCTCGGGTTAAATCAGATGAGATTGATCACGAAGCATATTTTTTTGCTTGGTAATTTCCGAACCAATTTCAAGTTGTATGTGAATAGGTCATATTCAAAATCATATCGAAATTATTATTTCTATTTATTTATGAAAGTTCATTTTAAGTTATAAATATTATGTTTATATAAAATTATAAATCAAATAATAGTTTGCTCTAGTTATACACCATGCATGTAGCAATTAAACCATCATGTATCTCAATGTTAGCTTTTGACAACACAATTATCTTAAAATCTTGGTAGTTAATTTTGAGTTAGCTCAATTTAAAGGAGCTAGCCAGCTTATTTTAATTTCAAGCCATGCCTAGATTAATTCAGTTTCGATCTAAGCTGACTCAAAATTGAATTGATCAAATCGATTCGATTTCAAGCCAACCTCCAAGCCATCAAGCTGACCCAAACCCGAATAGGCTAGCCTTGATTGAACGCATCAAGATACACTATACATGTACTTATACAATTAAAATATATACTATATAATTTATAAAATATTATATTCGCCGCTCAAGATCTGAAAGTTGAAGTTGGCGTGCGCGCAAACAATTTAATCACATGTGGCATTGGTGATAACCAAGCAACACATTGGAGCTAGTGATCGAATTCATATAAGGGCACATGCATAGCGCATCCAATGGTGGTAAATTAATCATCGATGA